AGATTCCACCAAGAAGAGGCACCTATGCAACATTTGGGAGTCAAAAACCGAGAAACTGCTACGTCTCTCTGGCTGCGGCTGGAACACCCAGGCATATACAAGAGACATCAAGTGTGCAGAGGCTTCCGGGCAATCTCCTCAGACACACTCATCTTATTCTGCCAACAAGATCAAACCAAGGTCCTGGGAGTCCAGGATTTTCGATATCCTCCAAGCCAGAAGCAGTTCTCCTGACCTTCACTGCCCCGGGGCCCTTTGAAGGCTTTGTAAGCATTTACTTAATTCGCCTTATTAAATCTGTTCTTGCTACAACACCCAGAGCTGTTTCTGCTTTCCCGACTGACAAACGTGAATAGACTTTGGTCACGTGGAAGCTGAAATGGAGAAGAGAAGATGAAACTGGGGAGTGAGCCAGCAAGAAAAAAGATATCCCTTTCCGCTGCTCAAGACAAGATAAACCACAACACACAGCGCATGAATGTTAAAGCAGAAAACAAAGCCCAGGGACAGCAGCTTTGGCACCGCGGGTTACGCTGCTGCCTGTGATGCCAACATCCCGTATCAGAGCCACCAGTTAGAGTCCTGGCCGCACTGCTTCCTACCCACCTCCCTGCTAATGTGCCTGGGAAGGATGGAGGACTGCCCAAGTACCTGGGCCTGTGCCACCCACGTGGGAGCTCAGGATGAAGATCTGAGCTCCTGGTGTTGTCCTGGTTCAGCCCCAGCCGCTGTAGCCTTTTGGGGAGTGAGTCAGCTGCTGGAAGAGCTCTCTCTCTCTCTCTCTCTGTCACTCTGACTTTAAAGTAAATAGAACAAATCTTAAAAAGGAAGGAAGGAAGGAAAACACAGAAAAAGGAAGGAAGGGAGGGAGGGAGGAAGGAAATATAGCTCAACAAGTGGATTAAAACTATACTAAGTATACTGGGGCCGGCGCTGTGGCATAGCGGATAAAGCTGCCGCCTGCAGCGCCAACATCCCATATGAGCATCGGTTCGAGTCCCGGCTGCTCCACTTGATCCAGCTCTCTGCTGTGGCCTGGGAAAGCAGTAGAAGATGGCCCAAGCCCTTGGGCCCCTGCACCCGTGTGGGAGACCTAGAAGAAGCTCCTGGCTCCTGGCTTCGGATTGGTGCAGCTCTGGTCATTGCAGCCAACTGGGGAGTGAACCAATGAAGCAAGACCTCTCTCTCTCTCTCTCTCTGCCTCTCCTTCTCTCTCTGTGTAACTCTCACTTTCAAATAAATAAATATTTAACAAAAAAATATACTAAGTATAATCTTCCTTGGGCTCAAAGGTATATTCCAGTCATCCATACAAATGTTTACTAAGAGATTACTACATGTTAGAATTCTATCCTTGGGCTGGCGCCGCGGCTCACAAGGCTAATCCTCTGCCTTGCGGCGCTGGCACTCCGGGTTCTAGTCCTGGTCGGGGCGCCGGATTCTGTCCTGGTTGCTCCTCTTCCAGTCCAGCTCTCTGCTGTGGCCCAGGAAGGCAGTGGAGGATGGCCCAAGTGCTTGGGCCCTGCACCCCATGGGAGACCAGAAGCACCTGGCTCCTGGCTTCGGATCAGTGCAGTGCGCCGGTCGCAGCACGCTAGCTGCAGCGGCCAATGGGGGGTGAACCAACAGCAAAAAGGAAGACCTTTCTCTCTCTCTCTCTCTCTCACTGTCTAACTCTGCCTGTCAAAAAAAAAAAAAAAAAAAAAAAAAAAAAAAAAAGAATTCTACCCTTGTGGGGGCCAGCGCCGTGGCTCACTTGGTTAATCCTCCACCTGTGGCGCCAGCATCCAGCATCCCATATGGGCACCGGGTTCTAGTCCCGGTTGCTCCTCTTCTTGTCCAGCCCTCTGCTGTGGCCTGGGAGTGCAGTGGAGAATGGCCCAGGTCCTTGGGCCCTGCACCCGCATGGGAGACCAGGAGGAAGCACCTGACTCCTGGCTTCGGGTCGGCATAGCTCCAGCTGCTGTGGCCATTTGGAGAGTGAACCAATGGAAGGAAGACCTTTCCTTTCTCTCTGTCTCTCGCTCTCTCATTGTCTGTAACTCCACCTGTCAGGGAGGGCAAACACCACTGAACCAACAACAGGGACAAATCACAGGGACTTGGGTAAGGAATGGCAGTACAGTAGGTGAACTCTGGATATATTCTGGAGACAAAGATTTGCTCTTGGAATAAATTTGGAAGAGGAAAAAACAAAAAAGAAAAAAATGACTGACTCCTGGGTTCTTGGCCTGAGCAACTGAAAGTACAGAGTTGCCATTTTTGAAGAGCTAAGAGGGAAATGGAATATGGAGGAGAATTAGTGACTGAATTAAGTCTGAAATACCTATTACAAACGCAAAGTGATATGCTGACTAAGAAGCAAGGAGGAACCACGTAGGCTTCTGAGAAGGAGCAGAGACATGGTCTGTACTTCAAAGATTAATCTAGTTAATGTCAGAAAAGCTGAGCGTAAGAACGCTGCTTCAAAAGTTATTATTACTCTTGTATATATTGTTAATTTTTATAGCCAGCACACTGATGAAAAAAATCTACCTTGTAATAATGACATGTAGAAATTGTTTATTTAAAGGTTACCTGTCATTTTAAAATGTTACTCTGAAACAGTCACCAGAAATCTCTCATCCACTCATCCTGCCATTTGTTTCCCATCTATCCTCTATTCCCATTGCTGCCTAAGGGATGCAGACTCCACAGTCGGCTCACAAATTGGAGACAGGATGTAGGTCTCAACACGATGTGAGATTTCAAAACAGGAAATGTATTTTTGGAGATGCTCCATCACTACCAAGTCACAACGCAGGAAACTGTTCAGAGTCGACATAAAGGAGACTCAGCTTCTTTTGCCAATACACTACTTTCTTATTTTCTCCATTGTGAGATCATTCTTTGGTATGCTAGCTCTACTTTAACTAAAGCTGTTTCCATCCTTGTCTTATCATATGTAAGTAAGCCTAGCTTCTTGTTACTTCTTGTAAAAGATAATTTGCAGGTTTTTTTTAATTTCTCCTAAATCTAAATTTCTCCACTGTAATAGGTGCAAGCAGATAATTACTTCATTATATCTTCCAATGCAATAGTGTCAGAGCATCTCCATACACAAATACATAATGTTTAATACAAGGCCCTTTCCTTTTCTCTCGTTATATTATAGTTTGAGCAAAACACTGATTTTAAAAAACAATGCTCGTGATATTAAATTGCATCTAAGCATAATTTAGCAATAGTAAAAGAAATGTTACAAAATAATGGCTATAAACAGAAGGCACTGGGTCTGCTAATACTGAGAAATCAGTGGACTGGAAAAAAGGAATCTGAGATATGAGAAGCATTAAAAAATAAATGAAAGTATAATAGGGCTTACTTAGCATGTTACCAAGAGTAGACGGAACAACACCGAGAGCCAGCAGCGTCATCTGCTGGAACGTTACTGCTCCTCAGGATGAGGGCAGAAGAGCAAGGGGGAAACAAGGGACGGCAAGTCTGCGGAGCAGCGGGCGTTAAAGACTGCACAGAGATATGCCGAGATTGCTCGATATTCTGACAAGTTTAGGGGCTAAGAATTGGATTCTCTCTTTGGGAGGCCCACTGATGTCACTGATACAACAAGCAAAGGTCAGGTGTGGACTATGGCAACATGGGCAGGGGCATTCGGTAGAAAGACAAGGATAGAGGGGGTGTTTCCTGTCAAGTTACAGAGGGCACAACAGAAAAAGGCTGGTCAAAGGGGAGGCCAGAATCACACTGGAAGGGGCATACAGAAATGGAACGTTAGCAGGAAACAGTAGCAAGAACCTAGGGTAGAAAGGTTTAAGAACAGGAATGAAGGATATAAAAAAATTAAGCATGACTGAAAGAAGAAAGGCTATTTGGAAATGTCAGATTTGAACTGATCAATAACAGCGATGAGGCTGAGAACAGTTCTCATGGGGAACCTGACCCAGGACAGGACAGGTGGGAAAAAGATCTGCAAGGCAGGGCTGGAGGGCCTGATCATTAGGAGCTGAGTTGCAGTCGGCCTGCAGTAACGCAGTCCCTGGGGACACAGCCACCAACAGTGGCGGGAGAAGCAAATCGCACACGTGATAAAGAACTATTATCATCCACAGAGAAAGAACTCTGACCATCCCACAAGATAAATAGCCCAAAGTTAAGATTGCCAAATGACTTAAAGAGACTCTTCTCCCAAGAAGATACGCAAACATCCATTAAACAAATAAAAAAGATGTCCAACATCACCGGTCATCAGGAAAGCCAAAGCATCGATGAATGTCACTTCGCAGTCACTATGACTGCTGTAGTCACCAAATGGTGTCTGGGTGCAGACACTGAAACCCTCACGCACTGCTGCTGAGAATGTCCAATGGTACCCTCACTATGCAAAACTCGGAACAGTCCTCCAGTGATTAAAAATGTCAAGTCGCGCTGATCCTTCTGGGAAAACTGGCATATATATAAATATTGACACAAGCTTTTGTGGAACGATGTTCCTAGAGATTTTGCTCACAACAGACAAAACTGGAAACAGACCAAATGTCTACGCACAGAACAGAAAACACGCATATTCGTGCGACAGAATAGTACTGAGTGATAAAAGTGAATGAAATGAAGATAAACGCTGCAGCATGAATGTAGCGCAGAAACACTATCCTGGACTTCCAAAATCACAGTGACTAAAGATCACATGCTTCAACTCACACGAGAGTCTACAAAGCCAAAACCAAACAAGAGCAACAGCAGTTAGAACACTGTGTGCTTGAGGGAGGGTAGGAGATAGCAAACATAAATGAGTGCCATGAAATTTGCTGAGGTGAGAAAATTAATTTGTATCTTAATTGGAGTTCATATGGGTTCAAAATATGTTGAACTCATTTAAAAATTCATCTAAAAGTCTATGCATTTGATTAAAAACAAATTATATTTTAAATAGTAAATTTATTGATTACACATAACAGCATAAGAAAGGTACATGCAACACTTGAATGAAAATAAAGAAATACCTTTGTCCACCTGCAGAGCTTCACCCCAGAGTGGCTCCCAATCAGCTGATAGCCTGAATAGAAAAACAGGAAACACAAAATTAACCAACCAAAAGCTTCAAATCAAAACGTATCAAAATTGAGCAAAAACATTTTTCTTTGCTTAAATTACGGCAGTCAACAGCATCATCGCAGAAAACACTGAAGATTTCATTAACTAAAATGAGAAAATTTAAAATGCACGTGCATCTAAAAACATAAACTCAAATTATTTTTTTCAAAAACAAGCTAACCCAAAATTATATGGGGAAATTTTAACTTCTCAATATCTAACAGGTCTCATAGGCCAAAATTCAGTAAAGTTCTAAAAGACTGAGCAACACAATTAACAAATGATCAAGAACACAAGGGCATGGGTAACAATTACAAAAATGAACGTTATGCTTAGCCAGAAAGCAGAAGGAATCATGCATTTCACATGAATGACAGGCTACTATCACCCACAATCTCCGAAAACAAGAAGGTGAATAATCAGGTGGGCAACAGGAGATTAAAACAAAGAAATGCTGATCCAAAAAGTGGAGAAATCAGATTCAAGGAACCACAACGGCACATGAACTCTGAGTGGCACCCCACAGCCTATCATTTAAAATTTCTGAGCCATAGAAGACAGGAAAGGCATAGAAAAGGCCATGCCAAAGTAATCTCATTTCCTTTTTAAACAAACAAATAGAGCAAACAAGTAGAGCATTCTGATTTCAGAAAGCATTCAATGAAGTTTCTCATGAGGTTTCAAATAATAAGCCGCAATTATCATGAGTCTCTGGCACAAAAAGACTCTTGGAGATGAACCACAGGAACGAGGAACGCAGTCTGATGACGGCCTAAGTGGACCAGCGGCTGGTTAAACATGCAGCTTCACTGTGCGATGACTGATGGGACCATGTCCACTTAGATTACCCGTCTCTAGTGGCAACATTTACAAGCTTTGTCTTTTATCCTCTCCCACATTTATGTAAACCTCTCGCATACGAATACAGCACTGCTTATCTACTTGAAGATGGAAGTGCATCCAACTGAATAACCAATCTCTGAATCAGAATAACCAGTTAAAGGCGTCCCAGAGAAAATTCTATTTCTTGTGTTGGGTTCCCAGATTACGCCGCTGCTTTTATTAGCACAGAAATCATGCTCTATTATATTAGTTCTTTAAATCTCTTCCTCCTGAGATACAGAGGGCTGCACAAAACTTTGCATTTAGGTGTGGAAAACACGATACACTACAGAATGGAAAGATCTGTAGCTGGCCACAATATCAAGATTAAGCCAAGAGTATGCAGTTGCTGAAAATCACAGAGCAGAATTCTGCTACCAACCTAGACAGAATAACAAAGAAGATTCACTATCCTACTCGAATTAACAAAGAGTGGACAACATACAGGAAACAGCAGCTTTTAGGACAGTCAGCATCAGGCAAAAAGGACAGAGAGGAGCTGTCAGTGAGGAGCTCTCCATTACCCCAGCATCTGTCTGGGAAGTTTCCAGGTCACGTGGCAGGGAGAAGCCCAAAGGACTCCCTCAGCTGAGGAGGGAGCTGAGACAGTCCAGCAAAAGTAAAGGAGTCTGCAGGGTGGAGTACAAAGAGAGAAAAGCTACACAAAGAACGCAAGAGTCTGCAGACGATTTCTATCAAGTGTCTGTCTGAGTACTGATGAGTACACATGTGAGAAAATTTACCCAAGAATGGGAAAGAGCCATCTGGAAGGATTAAAGATGCACCTGCCGCTCACCGGGTGTACCAGCAGACCGGGATGTGTGTCCAAACGACCACTCGTCCTGGGAAGCTCAAGATCCACAAGGCTTTGCATACAGGACACCAAGTGTCTTATCTCCACTGTGAAGAAGACTTAGCCCTCTACTGAGTCGGCTCTGTCTCACCTCACAACATGTAAAAGTCGGACTCAAAGCTCAAAGTAACCGTTCCTCATCACAGGAAAAAAGATTAAACACACTTATAAAAGTTTTTATATAAAAACATTTAATACTAAGGCAACTAACAAAGTAAATTTATGTCTGTCATCCAATCATAGATTATCAGAAACTGCGGTAGGCATTTGGCACGGTCATTAAGATGCTGCTTGAGGGGCCAGTGCTATGGTGTAGTAGGCTAAGTCTCTGCCTGCGGCACCAGAATCCCACATGGCTGCTCCACTTCCAATCCAGCTCCCTGCTAATGTGCCTGGGAAAGCAGCAGAAGATGGCCCAAGTCCTTGAGCCCCTGCACCCACATGGGAGACCCAGGAGCTCCTGGCTCCTGGCTTCAACCTGGCCCACCCTGGCCATTGTGGCCATTCAGGGAGTAAACCAGTGGATGAAAGAATCTCTCTTGGGCCGGCGCCCCGGCTCAATAGGCTAATCCTCCACCTGCGGCGCCGGCACACCAGGTTCTAGTCCCGGTCAAGGCGCCGGATTCTGTCCCGGTTGCCCCACTTCCAGGCCAGCTCTCTGCTGTGGCCAGGGAGTGCAGTGGAGGATGGGCCAGGTCCTTGGGCCCTGCACCCCATGGGAGACCAGGAGAAGCACCTGGCTCCTGGCTTCGGATCAGCACGGTGCGCCGGCCTCAGCGCGCCAGCCGTGGCGGCCATTGGAGGGTGAACCAACGGCAAAAAGGAAGATCTATCTCTCTGTCTCTCTTTCTCACTATCCACTCTGCCTGTCAGGAAAAAAAAAAAAAAAAAAAAAAAAAAAGAATTGAGAAGCAAAATGAAACCCAAGTAAAAGAAACATGAAGAACAGTACATTGAGACACTAACAAGTTGAGCTCCCTGATCCAAACATCTGAAATCCAAAATGCTACAGATTCTGAAATGTTTTGAGTAGCTCGTTGGCACCTGTCAGGATGCTTAACCAGTACATTTCATGTCAGTATTCCAAAAGGTGAAAAAACACCAAAATTTAAAATATTTCTGGTCACAAGGACTTCAGGTAAGAGCTATTTAATATGTAACATTACACTGTCCAAAATCAGCAATTAAGAGAAAATCTTTAAAGTAGTTGGGGAAGGGAGTATTACATTCAAAGGCACAAATAAAATGATGGCTGACTGCTGGGCTCTCATCAGCAGCAAGTGAGCAAGAGGCTAATGGAACACCACCTTTGGAATGCTGAGAGAAAGCAATGCCGTCCACCTACAATTCTATATCCAGCAAAACATCCCCTCCAGAAATGAGGGCAAGGGGAAGGCACTCGGCTGATTGCTTGGGCCCTGCACCGGCATGGGAGACCAGGAGGAAGCACCTGGCTCCTGGCTTCGGATGGATGCAGCGCTGGCCGTGGCGGCTATTTTGGGGGGTGAACCAATGGAAGGAAGACCTTTCTCTCTGTCTCTCTCTCACTGTCTATAACTCTACCTGTCAAATCAATAAAACTTAAAAAAAAAAAAGGCAGTTCTTGCACAGAGGTTAAAGGATACCAGACAGAACAAGGACAAAAACAAAGGACTAAAGATCAAGAAAGAGGTAACTCCCGGAGTAAAGAAGAAAATGCTTTATAATGACGCAAATCTTTAACAGAAGAAACCAACTGTGTAAGCAAAATTAATAACAATGCATTGTAGAGTTTATAACCTGTAAAAGTAAAATACATAATAACAAAAGAAAGGTGAATGGGGAAAGGCATTTGGCACAGGGATCAAGAAGGTACCACTGGGATGCCCACTTCCCACAGTGGAGTGTCTGAGTTCAAGTCCTGGCTCCACTCCCATTCCAACTCACTGCTAATGATGTGCACCCTGAGAGGCAGCCAATTATGGTTCAAGCAGTTGGATCCCCACCCATGTGGGAAACCTGGATTGAGTTCCCAGCTCCTGGCTTCAACCGAGCCCAGCCGGGCTGTGGCAGGCATTTGGGAAATGAACCAGCAGATGGAAGGAGACTTCTGTCTCTTTCAAATAATTCTTCTAAAAACAGAGGTGGGAATGGGGAGAAACTGAAGTATATACTATTGCAAGATTCTTCTATTATACATGAAGTAGTCTAACAAGACTCAAAGACACACTGTCACATGTAAAGACATACAGGATAAATTTTCAGGCAACCAATAAATAACCAAAGTATTACAGCTAATAAGCCAACAATATACAAGAGAATCATTTTTTTTTTTAGAACGCAGAGGGGGCTTGTGTTGTGGAGCAGCAGGTTAGGAGCACTGGTTCAAGTCACTGCTGCTCTGCTTCCAATCCAGTTCCTTGCTAATGTGACTGAAAAGGCAGCAGAAGATGGCCCATGTGGAAAACCTGGCTGCAGTTCCATGCTCCTGGCTTCGACCTGCTGCAGCCCTGGCACTCTCGCTGTCTCTCGTTCTCTGTCCCTCTTTCTCATTCTGTTTTTCAAATAAAATAAAAATAAGTGAACGAGAGAAAACAAATAGAAAAACAGACAACAGAAAATCAAAGAACAGATGAGAAAAGTACAAAACAAATAGTAAGACTATGGTGCAGTGTGTTAAACTGCTGCCTGTGATGGCAACATCCCGTATCAGAGCACCGGTTCATTCCCAGCTACTCGGCTTCTGATCCAGCTTCCTGCTAATGTGTCTGGGAAGGCAGCAGATGACGGCCCCAAGTACTTGGCCCCCCGCCACCCACAAGGTACATCTGGATAGAGCTCCTGGCCCTTGGCTTCATCCTGGCTCAGTCCTTGCTATTACAGTCATTTAGTGAGTGAACCAGTGGATGGAAGATTTATCAATTGATCAATTTATTTATCTGTCCATCTGTCCGTCCATCCATCCATCCATCCATCCATTCATCTCTCTCTCTGTTGCTCTGCCTTTCAAATAAAAAATCTTTTAAAACAGATTTAAATAAATCACAATAGTCTATCCCAATGAAAAAGCACATTATATACAGGAGAAGTCTTCAAAAAGCTCACGGAAGAGTAGGCATTTAGCCTATCAGTTAAAAATGCCTGTGTCTCATAGCTTGGTTCCTGGGTTTGATTCCTGCCCCAGCTCCTGACTCCAACTTCCCACCAATGCAAACCCTGAGAGGCAGTGGTGGTAGCTTAAGTAAGGTTCCCTGCCACCCTCATGGGGGACCCGGATTGTGATCCCAGCACCCAGCTCTGACCCCAGCCCACTCCTAGCCATTGCGGACACCTGTAGAAGAGAACCAGCAGATGGTTCGCTTTGTCAAATAAAATTAAAACAACAACAACAAAAAAAGCTCATGAAAAATTGTGTATTATGAAAAAACTATGCATGGATTTCAAAAGCTATTTTTTTTTTTGACAGGCCGAGTTTGACAGTGAGAGAGAGAGAGACAGAGAGAAAGGTCTTCCTTCCGTTGGTTCACACCACAAATGGCTGCTACGGCCGGCGCGCTGCACCGATCCGAAGCCAGGAGCCAGGCGCCTTCTCCTGGTCTCCCATGAGGGTGCAGGGCCCAAGCATTTGGGCCATCCTCCACTGCACTCCCGGGCCACAGCAGAGTCTGGACTGGAAGAGGAGCAACCGGGACAGAATCTGGTGCCCCAACTGGGACTAGAAACCAGGATGCCGGTGCCGCGGTTGGAGGATTAGCCTAGTGAGCCTTGGTGTCGGCCTCAAAAGCTTTTTGCATAAAAATAAGCTCATTTTCCTATGAATTTCTGACATATCCTCACATATATCTGTATCTTCTATCCAATTCATGATTCCTCAAAGGAGGCATGTTAGCCTGTGTTTCTCTGTATTGCGAAAACTGCCACATAAAATGTTCTTCATAAATACAGAGAGGAGGGAGAGAGGAAGATGGAGTTAGGAGGGTAAGAAGGAAGGAAGTCAGTCTCCTGACTCTTGCTCACTATTTTTCCTTCTGCAGGACACAATCTGCCCATTCAACTATAGCCTCCTTAATTAAGTATAACCACCCAATTTCAGACATGACATTTATGCATAATTAACCCAGCTCTGTATCATATGGGGATATTTCACATCACTTATGGAAAATGAAATTATAAGATAAGTTCATCTTGGTGCAAAAATATTTTGAAACCATGCACAGTTTATCATAATACTCATCCTTCATGAACTTTTTAAAGATTCCTTATTCGTGTGGGTTTCTAAATGCTTTTACACCATAAAGAAGTTTAATAGAAGATTAATTTTATTTATTTGAAAGGCAGAGTTACAGACAAAGAGGAAGAGACAGAGAGAAATCTTCCATCTGCTGGGTCACACCCCAGATGGTGCAATGGCCAGGGCTGGGCCAGGCCAAAGCCAGGAGCCTGCATCTCCATGTGGGTCTCCCATGTGAGTGCAGGGTCCCAAGCACTTGGGCCATCTTCCAATGCTTTCCCAGGTGCATTAGCAAGGGACCATACCAGAAGCAGAGCAGCCAGGACTCAAACCAGCACTTCTATGGCATGCCAGGTTGCAGGCAATAGCTCAACCTGCTGCACCACAATACCAGCCCATGAACTTATCTTTTAATTCAGTTTTCCTTGAACTTTTTAGAGTCCCCTCATATAAGCTTTCTCCTGCATTTAGTAGTTTTTCTTTAATAAACAGTGATTTGTGAGTCAGTGATAGATAGCATTTTCTTTCACTTTGAGCCACAATGATGGTAATATCCCAATAAACCAAGCAAGGATGAAATGCATAAGTGACCCATGGAAATGAGAGGACGAAGCTTTTCATGACTGCACCTGCCACTGTGACACAGCTGTTGAGCTAACAAGGGAGTGACTTCATTTCTGTCCCCATTGGCGGTCCCTAGTTTATTCCTTTCTCTTAGGCGTTGAGTTAGAACGTTTAACAAAGATTCTCACAAATTCTTCACCTTGCTTAGTAAGGGCTTCTCGGAGAGCAGGAGTTATCATAGCTCTTCTCCCATCATCTTCATTCTTCCCTGTGCTCCTGAACAAACTAGTTTTCTCTTCCTGCTGCTCCTTTTCTCTCTGTATTAAAACACAAAGGATGAAATCCAGAATTGGCAATGTGCAAAGAATAAGGTAACCTTGAATCAAGAATGCCTAGCAGCACTAAAAAAGGTTCATCACAAACAATGGCCCAGAACCCTAATCTCTAGGAAATGATCCCATTTCCAGTGAGACAAAGATCTTGATACTCTTCTTAAAAGAGTACCGATATGCTCAAACACATACACCCATAAACGCCCATACACATTAATCCAACCATTCACTTGTCTAGAGGTCAAATGTTGTTAGCAGTGTGAGCGCAGACAGCTGCCTAACCCTGGCAAATTACTTGCTTTCTCTGGATTTCAATTTCCTCACCTGAAAAAGGACAAAAACAATTATGCACAGAGCAGGAATATGTTAAAGATGAAATGAAGTAAAATCGCCTGGCACAATGACTGATAGAATAATAGGTATTCAATAAATTACAGCTCCTGCCTTATTACACTTGTCAACCCCCAAAACAAGGGGAAAAAGGAGAGCCACTAGCTCAGAGCACCTACCCCCCACCCATCGCCTCAAACATCACATGGGAGAGATTCCTCTCTGGTGACAGGAATGATATAGTGAAGACATCCTGAGGAAAATATCAAATTGCTTGTGTTTCCTTTTGACTTTGGCCACTGGAAAATTCAGCATGCTTCTGATCACTGTTATGACTCCACACTTGTTATGTATCCATTGTCATTGGCTTCATAGGACAAGGTGACCTTCATTTACCCCTTCCCTGTCTCTTCCTTTTACAATCTTGGGGGTGTGTGTATTTAAGTTATCACAACATCTTTTTGAAAGAGGGAGAGTGCTAATTAACCATTTCAGAGACAACACAGACTCTGTGTTACATTTCAGAGGAGACACTCATCAACCTGGTTACTAAAAGGTACAATCCAAGCTACGTGACATTGCCAGTGGTCTCACCACAAGTGCCTAACCACCTTAAGTGTCCAGACACTCAAACCTAGTCAGCCAGTGCGTACACTCACTTATTATCTTTCTATCTAAAATGAAAACGCCTTACAGTTGATCTGCTGAGGATCTGCTTCAGATTAATAGAGACGGGGCTAGGAGAAGGGTTTTTGAAAAAGGATGCCCACAGGTTGACAGGCGATGAAGCCAAGCAACAGGTACTAGCAATTCACATCACTATATGGTCAGGGATAGTCTTAGTTTTCCACACACGACATGTACAAGGACCAGCACTGTGGCACCACCTGTGAGGCCAGCATCCCACACCAGAGCGCCAGTTTGTGTCCCAGTTACTCTGCTTCCATCCAGGCTCCTGCGAATGTGCCTGGGAAGGCAGTGGATGATGGCCCAAACACTTGGGCCCCTGCCACCCATGTAGGAGACCAGGATGATGTTCCTAGCTCCTGGTTTCCTCCCGGCTCAGCCCTGGCTGTTGTAGCCATCTGCAGAATGAACCAGTGAACAGAAGATCTCTCTCTCTCTCTCTCTTTGTTCCTCTGGCTTTCAAATATTTAAATAAATAAATCTTTCAAAAAGAATGTTTGCACCGGCTGGCACCGCAGCTCACTAGGCTAATCCTCCTCCTGTGGCACCGGCACTCCATGTTCTAGTACTGGTTCTGTCCCGGTTGCTCCTCTTCCAGTCCAGCTCTCTGCTGTGGCCCAGGAAGGCAGTGGAGGATGGCCCAGGTGCTTGGGCCCTGCACCTGCATGCGAGACCAGGAGGAAGCACCTGGCTCCTGGCTGCAGATTGGCGCCAGCCATAACAGCCATTTGGAGGGTGAACCAATGGAAGGAAGACCTTTCTCTCTCTCTCTCACTAACTCTGCCTGTCAAGAAAAAAAAAATGTTTGCACCAAAATCTTTCATTTTTCTACAAGCTGATTAAAGTATCCTAGTAAAACAAGATTAAACATTTTTTAAAACTGTACATACACAGAAAATAAACCACAGGAATTTAGAGTTAATTTCTCTGCTTTCTCTATTACTTCAGGGACTTGCTCTCTAACAGGAAATCGGTGAAAAAGCTCTTTAGAGAGTCCAATGTACCAAATGAGAAATGTACACCCGCATTACGTTCTGTCGGTCTGAAAGTCAGCATTCCAAATCACAAAGTGCCATCAAAATGCAAAGCTAATGAGCAATTCTGCTTCTGTTAATAGAGTTCTTAACTACACATTTCCAGACGGAACTGAAAAAATTTATAAACAAGCATCAATCATTTTTTATCTATTACAAAAGTAATTGGCTTAATGGTAGGCATTTTATAAAAAATAAAAAGGCACTGGTTATTATTTTGCTAAAGTGTTTTAAAATAAAAGGAGGAATTCTTCAGCTTTTTAAAAATCTAGTTCAGACTTAAAAGAAGTGTACTTGAAAAAGAAGTCTTATGGCAATGCCAAGTGAACTATCCTTGACCTTGAGAGCATTTAAATGTCTCTGAAGCAATTCCACATGGCTCCTCCACCAATCATGCGAAGGTTGATAGGAGGCTGCACTATTAGCCCTCAAAAACCTCAGTCATCACAAAATATGACCGGCTTATTTGCCTGCCCCAAAGACCACATAAATGCAAAACTGCACTCACTCCATGATCTTGGCCTCTGAATACTGTGACCAGAGCTCCACAGATGCCCCTTGAGGCCACCAACAGAAACTTCTGACCCCTATAAAATGAACACCGTCCGTGCCCAACCACCAGGGAAACTCGCAGTTATGAAATGTGAGTGCTGCTACTCCGGATTCAGGCATAGCAGCTACTGGAGAAGGGCTCCGGCAGTGGGACAAACAACATTTATCATCACTTCCCTCTCCAGCTGTTTAGGCCTATCTTCCAGAGGCAGTAGTAATTTCATTGCTAAAAAGAAACCCAGTGCTTCAGAACTCGCCCAAGGATGTTTACTGCACCACTCAAATTCCAATTCTAATCTCCTGGGTGCAGACACTGCCCGTTCTCTGCCCCCAAATGTAACAATATAATAACCACTGAAGATGCAAAATATAACAACCACGTAAGACACATGCATTTTTATGTATTTGTTTATACCTGTCACCCGGCCTAAGCAGAAATCATTGAAAATCCCAGAATCAGTCAACCCCGACTTTTCCCTCTCCTGTACACCCCCCATTTAGCAATGGGTGAACAAGTTCGAGAGCTTCAGTTGCCAACACAGCAGTTCTTTCTGTCCACAGCACCTCACTCTTACCACGGCCTTGGTCTCCCCTCAGGGACATCTGTAGTTACGACCCTATAATATGGTGTGAATCTCCAACCCCCATCTCCTGCACCCACTGTGCTGGACACTCTTCAAAGCTGCTGTTCTCTAGCATGTAAAAGGAAAGCCAATTATAAGCATTAACGAAAATAGCTATAAATAAGTAAGAAGTCCTTTATAGCCTGTGTATCTTTTTTTTTTTTTTTTTGGCCAGGCAGCATTAGAGAGTGAGAGAGAGAGAGAGAGAGAGTTATAGACAGTGAGAGAGAGAGAGAGAAAGGTCTTCCTTCCATTGGTTCACTCCCCTAATGGTCGCCATGGCTGGCCCTGCGCTGATTCGAAGCCAGGAGCCAGATACTTCCTCCTGGTCTCCCATGTAGGTGCAGGGCCCAAGCACTTGGGCCATCCTCCACTACACTCCCGGGCCACAGCAGAGAACTGGACTGGAAGAGGAGCAACCGGGACAGAATCCGGCGCCCCTACCGGGACTAGAACCCGGGGTGCCGGCACCGCAGGCGGAGGACCAGCCAAGAGAGCCACGGCACTGGCCTATAGCTGTGTATCACTCAGGTAAAACAATAGTATTACTTTCCTTTTGTTTTTTTAAGGCTATCATATGGTTCTTCCCAGTTCATTTTCATACCATCATCCCAGAAACAATGGTGCCACCCCAGTTTTGCCTAGGATAAAAATAAGACCAAAACAGTGACATGTTAAAGGTTTTTAAGGTCAAATGCCACTGAGTCAGATAACTGCCCAATAGGTGTTTTACAATAAACAAGATTTTGATGACCCAAAATATGTCTTCTGAGAAAGAGTTTTTCTGTTGGTTCTACAGACCCTTGCTGGCTATCAGGTGACTCCCTTCGTCAATTCATACCAAAACTAAGGATATGGAATCTCTAGGTTCTCTGCAGTCATTTTTCTGTGCATCAACCTGCCTGGGCCTGGAGCCATATGGTCACAAGGTGAGAATTCAGTAAACGTTGGTTGAATAAATGGGTCAATGCCTCAAAACTGTCAGAGCCGACCTAGCCCCAAACACACCCCACTCTTCAGTAAGCGACTCTAGAACTGTCAACTTCCAGTACTAAAAACTTTTTCTTTGGGGCCAGTGCTGTAGCATAGAGGGTTAAGTTGCCATCTGCATTGCCAGCATCCAATTTAAGCGTTGGTTTGAGTCCTGGCTGCTCCACTCCCAATACAGCTCCCTCTTAATGAGCCTGAGAAAACAGCAGAGGATAGCCAAGTTCTTGGGCCCCTGTACCCACAGGGGAGACCTGGAAAAAGCTCCTGGCTTTGGCCTGGCCCAGCCCTGGCACTGCCTCCATTTGTGAAGTGAACCAGCGATTATTAAGATAACTCTATCTCTCGCTCTCCCACTGTAATTCTGACTTATAAATAAATCTTTAAAACAAAACAAAAAAACCCCTTATCTTCATGTATAATATTCCTTCTGCTATAATTTAAGTCCACATCCTCAGAGACCTAGTTCTTTGATAAGTACATCCCCAATATACCACTCACAGGTCATGTGTCAGTTCTAAAACGACCAACTTTTGTCATGATTCAAGGTTTTCTGTACACTCTATCTATCTATCTATCTATCTATCTATCTATCTATCTATCTATCTTTGACAGGCAGAGTTAGACAGTGAGAGAGAAGGACAGAAAGGTCTTCCTTCCATTGGTTCACCCCTCAATGGCCGCTGTGGCCAGCGCACTGCGCTGATCCAAAGGCAGGAGCCAGGTGCTTCTCCTGGTCTCCCATGGGGTGCAGGGCCCGAGCACTTGGGCC